CTCTTAAATAAAAGTAGTTTTATAAAGAAAATTGAAAAGAAAAAAGATATTTATGAAAATCTCAAAATATCAAATACTAAAAGTTGAGAAGGAAAAGATCCAAGCGTATTGTGCGATATCCCCGATCCGTAATCCATAGAAGATCATAGCGACGTCGTCATCTCATACGTCAAACATGTGCTATCAAATTATCTAGACCGACATCGGGTACTTCCGCTAGTAGGTTTATAAACTATATTACTGCTGAAATATAAATTAATAGATGATACGATATTGAACAGTTTGAATGGCAGATGGCGAACGTAAATGTCAGTGAACCGGTAAATGAAGTCTTTCATATAGTTTTTATTATTTTAAACTAGTTCGCATTGGAAATGAAGATGACAATATTGAGGGTTAGCACGAACAAAATCGTGACAGAGTACCGAATTGAATTTAGAATGCTGTCTGCAGCATAATTTTGTCATATTAGAGCGGATATCTTTTTCGAAAAAACATTTTGTCGAGGTCTACAAGTCGAATAAGACAAACTATGGATTTTCATGTTTTTGTTATATGAATAATAGCGAAAGTATTGAATGAACTTCGTTTTTAAAAAAGGTATTTCTTCTGAGGTACAAAATATAATGATCCCAACATGCTACACTATTTATATGAAACAGAAGATGCACGTAAAAATCTGCTCAGTTTTAGTAGTAAATCTGCGTTCGTTTTATTGACTTATGAACAATTCGTTTATTTTCCTTTACCAGGCACAGACTAGGTATCTATACGTGGTTCTTTTACAGTTTATTCTACTCTGATATTATTTAGATTTTCCTATAAGAGAATTTTTTTTGTTTTTGTTTAAAGAATAGAATAAGAAAGGAACAAATTTTACATTTTCATCAAATATTCGTCTTTTATATGTTCAAGGAAGAAAGTGCTCACTCTAAACTTATTCTGTATTCCGCCAACTTCGCGAATTCAAATTACATTAATTCGAGACGACTTATTTCCATCTTTTGTACTAGTTTAAAGTGCGCGAGTTGTAGACGATACTGATCTGCTTATTAGAAAAGGATCCCTTTTAATTTGTAAGCTACATCGCTGTGAATATCGAAACTAAAGTTCCCGTATACTGAGCAGCAATATCGGCTGCCGTATAACTCAAAAACTGAACGGTATCGTTTCATAAAAAAGACTGGGGGGGACCTAGAGTACAACTCGTAATGCTAACGAATTACGGATGTCTCTGGAAAATATCTAACTATTTTTGTATGAAAAAGCAAAGGTTAAGCTTTTTCTGAAAGCTTCTCTTCTGTCATAAATAAATAGTGTATATGTTATTTTTCTATATTCTTCCTTTAACAATAGATGCTGATTAAAACAATTTGGTAACATCAAATAATACCGGTTAAATATATAAATCAATTAAGACAAGCATAGCAGAGAAAAGAATATATGAACGTTCTCCCAACAACTGTACACAAAAACAGTATGGAATTCCTTTACGGTAGCAGAGTTAGCTGGCCACGCTGTACTGTACTACACATGCTGAGTTATATTATACTTCATGCTACTCTGCCCAAACGTGGAAAACAACATAAACATCTATACTATGGGGAAGCGACAGTGGATCGTTGCTGACAGATTCTTAATTTAAAAAAGGCAACACCAGCTTTATGCCGCGAACATTACCATGCTGTACATATGTAATTGGTCTTTTCCGTAATTTCCATTAAATACAGAGTCTCGCGAACAAATTCAGCACAAAACTCTTGTTTCTTGAAATTTCAATGAGAAACCGTAAACCGGGTACTGATTTGTGCAATCATCGGGCACAAAAATAGGAAAACATTTATTTGTGCCCGGACAGGGCCCAATGAGTGGCCTCGGTACGAGTAAATGAAAAAGCCGGGTACAAAAATTAACTTTTCGAATGCAGAGTACAGAGATATAAGTCAAATTTCAAAAACAACTCATCTTTTAACCAAGGAAATATACAAGCAGAATTGAAAAGAAATTTCAAAAAATGTCACTATCAATAGGTATGAAAATTATTAATACTTTTTGTTACGTATTTATATTTTCTGCAGCGCTGACAATTAAAAAAGTAAACATTTCAGATCACGCGTCTCTTTTTATCTTCTTCATTCTTTCGTTTGAGACGTGTGACAATGTTTACACATCTTATATTTCGTGCGAGAAGAGTTGTCTCCACCATTTGCAACCATTGTCACACTTAAAGCTCCAAATTCTTCTCCATAATGAGATGAGTCGGCCGCATATTACATTTATTTAATAAATGTTGTTGTTTTTTCTTTTACGTAAGAGAACCCCAAATGGACTGAATCAGAAAAAATTTTCCGATTTTTCAAAAAAAGTATTACATTTTTTTCAGACAGAAGTATTCACATTAGTACAGCAGAACTGTCGAGTCAATAGCATGAATAAATGAAACGAAGGCATACTTAACATATTCTTCGAGAGAAAAGAAACAGAAGTAGGCGATATATACTTTAGTCAGAAGGAGAGAAATAAAGTAGTAAGTTGAAAGAGTACATAACTGATGTAAAGAACGATAAAACACTTTTTAGCCTAGGTATGGCAAGTAATAGTACAATATTTTCGACAAACGCCGATAACATACAAGTATTGGCTAATTTGGCTCCATATGTTACATGTAATGACAAGATATCACGGAATACTAGAATACGAGGCTTAATTATTATCCCTGGTGGTGGTGGTAAAACAACTTTACTCTCTTCCCTATACACAAAAGTCGCTTGTGCTGATATCGATGACTATTGGGATCAAGAACAAGAACAGAACCGTATACAAGAACTAACAGTTGATTGGAAAGAGGCTTGCACTAACAATAATCTAACTAAACGGCATCAAATTGAAGACGAGTATGTGTTATTAAAAGCAAAATTAAGCAAACAAAAATGGTCACATGACGAGATGTATGATCTATTGTTTGTTCAGACATATGCACAAGCCTCTGTTCTTCTAGATGAAAATTGTTTTGCATTGAATTTACTACCTACAGCTCGACTGCATCATTCGAATTTGTATAGACGAGCAAAATCAGAACATCCACCACAAGATTTTGACGTTTGCCTCACACAGTGGAAAGAAAATGAATTGTATTCTCATGTATTGTATGACACTTTTGAGCAACTTGAGAAGATTGTGACTTTGTTTCATCAGTTTATTTCGTCAAATAGAAATTGACTCATAGTCTTTTCTATAAAAAAGAAAATACAAAGATGAACTACCCAATGAAGCATTGTTGTTCAGATAATTCAGCCACGTTATATACGAGTTTTTTGCATAGGAATTGTTCAATTAGATTGGACGAATTGTTTGGCTCTAAGAAACAGTTCTTTAAAGGATGTTACCGCAGTTTTTAAGTAAACAGAGCGCAAACAATTCGGGATCTATTTTGCAGCAGTTTCTGGGATCCCATTTCTGATTTTGTCCGAAAATGAAAAAACTGAAATTGAAAAAAGATTCTTAGTATAATAATGTACACGAGAAAATACATGCTGATATTTATGCTGTTCTTTTTCTTTTGTGTATACTTTGAAAAGTCATGGACAAGAGGCTTCTTCTTTGAAGTCATCTTACTTTAACGACCAGACTATTTTCTATCTTTATTATGCTACCTTCATGAAATGCACAAAAAGAACTTTTTTTCTCCTACTATAGAAGCAAAGCATGGCTCAAAGAGACAGTAGTGACTATTGTAGTGTATTTGACTAATGGTAAGGTACTCGTACTGATAACACTCAACTTGCTACAAATGATACTTCAGCTAATACAAAATTCAATGATAGTGGTCAGAACGTTGGTGAAAAACACGGCTTACAAACAACCCCACTGAAAGTGGCTCCGATGACAGTACCCTAGTGAATGTACTGAGTTTAGAATACTCTTGTACTGAGGAAGTTCCAGGAGAGTACTCGTTAATAATTTTCAGCAACTTCACTGTGACGGGTACGTTCTCGGGTACCTATATCAGTATGTTTACCGAGCAAGTACCTACTCTGGTCCCCGCCCAAGTTGTCGAAATCAGACGAAAACCGACGGTTAACCTCACAATTAATCAGAAAAACGGTCGGTTAGCCGCGGTTAACCGACCGTTATAATTGGGAGGTTAACCGTCGGTTTTTCGCCTGTGTTGCTTTTAAGTCATTTAATCATAATTAAGTGTCCTTTTTGCAACGGTCTTCTGCTGTATTTTTGCTCCAATGGAAAAATGGGCTCAATCGAGTTTATCGTTCGAGACAAAACTGCAAAGCATAAGCAAAATATCCCACTATATTGAGTAAGGAGGTTTTCGATCCCAGGAGGTCAAAAATCATTCATATAGTGTGCTATAAGATTCTTAGCAAGGCTAGTGAGGAAACGGCGTTTCTGGATTTAGGAGAGAAAAATTCTGGAAACGATCAGAAACTGGATGTACAGCGAAAGTGACACGAATCAACTTGTAAAGCAGATTTGTTAAATTCGATTTTGTTCTATTGTTTTCAACGCACACACCAATCAATACAGTTCGCCAAGGTCTATCGATCGATTTATAATTCATTTTATTTCGTCAGAATCGAATGGATTAATTCGCAAAATACTCCGGAAAGTTTGTTCGTGGTTCTAACTCGAGAGGTCGATTTTGGTCAGAGCGAAGTCAGGTGCGGGGAAAATAAGTTTTTTTGAGGTTATCGACAACACGGTATCTATCTGACAAAAAAAGATTTTATGTCTGACCCCTTTTTTTTTTTTTTGATTCAAAGGGTATAATGACAATACAATTCTCTCATGCAATTCCATTGTTCGACTTTATGACGCAGTTAGCGTTTCACAACTAGCATCAAATATGAAAATGCAATATTGAATACACACACAGTCATGACTAGGTCCGACTTTGTCCACCAGTATATCATTCTAGTGTTCATCTTTACTGGTTGATTATGAACTTGAGCCGTGAAAAATGGAAAAAAGTAATTGTTCATCTAATGAGAGAAAGTCGATTTTTCGGTTTTTCAAGATTTTCAGCCGAAAACACATGTGAAAAAACCCCAAAAAGTGTAGGAGTAACTGGAGAAGCTAGCGAAATGAACAAGAGTCCGTTGGACATTCGATTATATCCGGAAAATCCGTTAAAATTGTGGCTGATTGAACAGAGTTTGGAAAATTCCTGAAACAGACTGGAAACATCTGAAAGTTTCGCAGGGTGAAGCGGAATAGTATGACGTCCACAGAACACTGAAAAAAATTAGAAAATTGATGTAAAAAAATGTTTGAATTCATCTAAATTCAAGCCATAATCCGCTTTTCCTCTTTGTGTTTATCGAAGTAGAACAGTTATTTCTGAATCGATTCTTGTTCATGTTATTTTATAGAATTGTGAATATATGAAGTCGTCCCAACAAGCTCGATTCGTAATCAACGTAGTTCAGCGCAACACATTTAGGTGCAATAAATCTTCGATCAGTATTTGAAAAAAGGAGGAAAATAGAGAAAGGTGGAACGCAGTAGCTTCCGTACCGACGAGCTCTAACCAGTGCGGTGAGATGAAAAAGTAGTTACGAAAACATGGGACAAAAATGACGTATACTATGAGAGTCCTGTGTAAGTGTCATGACTCTTGCAAATCCGCGGGGACTATAAAAAAAAAGAAAAACTAAGAGGTTGAACAAAAGCACACTGATTTTGCGCATCTCCATTATTGAACACAGAGGAAGAAATGTGAATAGCTGTAGATTCAAGGGGGAAACAGCGCACTCCATACTCCATGGAGTGAACTTTCACTCCGGTTCACTCCGGCGTGACAGAGTGACAAGTGCTATGACTCTCTTCTTTCGCATTTGTTGATCAACTTTCTTCTCGAGAATAGGATGCACAGGGCTAATGACTGCTAACAATCCAGTTCTTGAAAGAAGCGATAATAATAGCAGTTCCCATAATTCCCAATGTCCCCATAGTTCTTAATGTTCCTGTAGTTCCTTTAGTACGCATAGTTTCTAATGTTCCTATTCCTAGGAACATTGGGAGCTTTAGGAACTATAGTGATAGCATGAATATCGAGACCAAACAAATATTAAATAAGCGATATACTGTACTGCACCTGGAAATGATTTTTATGTTAACAATATGATAAAAACTAAATATCCTGTGAGAAATAAAAGCTAATGCGGCAGGCGTCTCTGAAAGCGTAAATGCGCCTGCCCCGGTCAGGTAATTCTACTAACTTCCTACACGATCCTATAGGATCCTGCTGATAATAGGACTTCACAGGATTCCTAAAAAGTCCTACAGCAGGAATTCCATAGGATTCTTGATATAGGACTGTAGCAAAAATCCTACAGAATTCTCATAATAGGAATCTTATGCATTTTTCACAAAATCCTACGGTAAGATTTTGTAGGATTCTCATTCTTTCGTTCTATATATATTTTCGTTTTGTAGTAACTTTAATATTCTTTTAGTCTCAAATTTTCGCACCGAACACTGTGAGCCATCGAAACTCGCTACTGTTCGCCGACGTGTGAGTGAAACTTAAAAGATCATACAAGATCCTGTATAATCTTGTTATAAGATTTGATAGGATTTTACATGATCAACTAAGATATGGTATCATTTATCCTACTACTATCCATCTCAAAATATAATGCACCCGGTTGTTTTCTGAGTAACTCAAAAACAATAAAAGACAGAGATGTGCGGTTTTTAGTAATCAAAAGACGACACTTTAAGCTATACTTTCACAAGAAAAATCGTCTTTCAAAAACCTTCGAAGGATCGGTTCTCTACAACATCTTTGGAAAACTGGCTCGGATTTCCCGAAACCGACATAGTAATCTATCGTTCTTTTTCCGTAGATAGATAGTCCGAAGTATCCTCTGTAAAATTAGATGTAAACAAAAGTTTGATTTTGTTCGAGCGCTACAGACTATTTTCCGAAACCTTTTAACTTCTCTGTCGTTAGGTTTAGACTGCCGAAAGTGCATGAAAACATAGGTTGTCGACTATGCTGAATCTTGTGGCAATATTCGTTTCTCAAAAAAGTTTCAGAAGGCTAGAGGGAACGTATATTAGGTGAAATATCCCATTTCTGCCCATTTTTGAGTAAATTCAAAAAAGACACAACCCAGTGTTAATTTGGTTGGATCTTGGCTGGGCTATGACTTATTTGATTTTACTCAAAAATGGCGGAGTTGGAGTTGAGATTTTAGGAAGTTGGAGTTGGGTTTTTGAATTTTTATTCTCAACTTGGTTTTGCATTTTTCGAAATATTCAATGGTTGTAAAACTGATCTTCTAAACGATTAAGTGGCTGTGGCTGTATTCACGAATGAATTCGGAAATTCTTTGCGCTTTTCGACCGGAAAAAGCTGAAAAACGTCCAAAATCCTGTTAAAAAACCGAGAAATCTTCCTTACAAAAGTGAAGCAATCGGAGTTGAACCGGAGTTCAGATTTTTGTTGATGGAGTTGGAGTTAGCTGAAAAACCTTGAGCGGAGTTGGAGCTGTATTTGGATCGGAAATTTGAAAACGGAGTTGAATTTGAAACTCAGTAGGGTTGCCCAGCCCTGGAAATATACAAATTGATGATAACCTATATTATAAATACTGAACGCTTTATAAAGCATGCCTGATTATTTTCTTCTTATTTAATTACACACACCTCAGCAGCGTTTGGGATGTGTCCGTTACGGATCTTCGTCACTTCTTCATCTTATTTTGATTTTTATGTACTTTATCTATTAGTTCATCAGTTGTTGTTTCCCTTTATTGCTCTTCTTATTATCACTTCCCTCTCTTTCTCCACGTAGCATACTTATATTGTCTACCAAATTGATACTGTGATAGTACTGAAGTGAGCACGTTGTGCTCTATGTACTCTTTGCCATCTGCTATACTTTTTTTCTTAAATAAATTGGTTTAAATCAACATTATGTTTCGCTACTTTCTCTTATCACAAAGATCTGAAACAAGATGAGTCTATCCTTGGAAAAAATTATTTTTACTTCATTATTTTTTTACCCATCTGAACACACATTATCTCTTGCTATCATGACCCAAAGAGAAAGCCGGAAAGTCATGGTAGCGGAAACGGTTCGGTTTAAAAGGGTCTTTCACACCGAGTAGTTAAAATTTCATAGTATAAATGTCGGTCTTCCTCGTCGATTCGAAGCGGTGCGGACTTCCAACAGGTTAATTTTACGCTGTTTTCCCTTAATGAACGTTTCTTGATAATAGAAGATTTTTTCTTCTTTCTATATTTTTTAAAACAGAAATAATGTTCTACATACAAATATATACCTGTATGTATAAGAAATATATATTAGACTAAAACACAACGAGATCAAAAGAAAGGAAAACAATAAACGACTCTATACCTAATTTGAGAATCAGAATTATTAGAAAGACAGAAAAATTTTGTTTTCCCACAAAGCATGCCAAGTAAAATCGTAATACTTCTTCGTTTGGCTGCAATTATCTTCTAACAAAAGCAGATATCAACTGTCAATTGAAAAGACAGTCTTTTCCCCTCGAGCTTTAAAAAGCCCCACGCCACATGTAACAGTTTTAATAATTATCCTCTTTACATCTAACAATAGATCTATTTGGCTCTGAATGGATTTGATGACTGTGACTCGAAGAGGAAGTCAAAAGTCATATTAGTTAAATAATGTTGTTTCAGAATTGATCGTCAACATTTCTGACATATACAGAAGAATGTTGTGTTTGTTCAGTCAGATACTCATATTGTGCAACAAATAACTGAATAGGTACACTCTACCCCCTTTGAAAAAACAGTCTGTCTACTTAAAGCCCAAGTATATTTTTGGGCTTCAGTTACAGAGATGCATATTCAAGGAGGTGTAAAAGGTAAAAGATTTGCAAAAATTCTCAAGAAATCATCCTTTGTTAAACGGGGTCTTCTAATCTGTCTTTTGCTTCGCTCACTCAAGGAGGGGGGTCTTCTATTATGGCGGGATGGGGGTATTCTATTCTAGGGGAGTCTTCTAATGTGTCCATCCCTTTACTCCGTTCAAGCTTAAAGTAACTGGACAGTAATCATTTTATTAATTACTACATTTTAAGAAAGATTGAGAGAAAAATGTTTCGCAACCGAGAATCGAACCCAGGACCCTGTGGGGTTACAGGTTCTAACCACTGAGTATAGGAACTGATAGTCCAATAGTTAGAACTTCTGGCCTGCAACCCACTGGTCCTGACATTCGAGTTTCAGTCGAGAACTATTTTTCTCTCAATCTTTCTTTAACATTCAAGATCTACATTCTGTTTCAGAACATATTAAAACTTTTATTTATTACTACAGTTTAATCTTGTGTAACTAGAATTTTGTTCTTTTTTAAGTCTTTTGCAAATTTTCAGTTTAGAAAGACTTTTGCAACACTTATATACAATCTATTTTCTTTGCGTTTTTAAATCTTAGAAAGGAAATTTTTAGATTTCTTTATTTTTTTATTACAATCCAAATGCTAACATTTTATAATATATTTTTCTTTCGACTAATTTTTGGATACGCTTTATGCATACTAAACCTTAACAACTTTATCTCTTTTATTTCCTTTTTAGTATTAATTCCCCAATGCTTCCTTAGAACTGTTTACTTCACTATTGTAAGAAAGGAAAGTTAGTCATGTCTATCAATAGTAAAGATAAACCTCCACAAGTAACCAAAATCAAACGAAAATTATCAAATGAGACAAGAGTACCAGATGCACCAAAACTATTATCATCAACGAGTGCAGAAACAACTCTAACGCCTGACAACATTCAAAAAGTAAGTTGTTTAGAGGTTGATATTTCTAAGGTTTTTTGCACTTGAACACTATTCTTTATTCTGAACATTTTAAAATTCCAGTGTAACAGATAATGTGATTACGCGGATATCAAATGTAGTACGTCTTTTAATGAACTTAAAACGGCTGACTTATATAACATCTAAGATCGTTCTTCTGCAGGAAACTGAATTTTCATCTACAAACAATTCGAGGAGCCGATTAAAGAAGAAAGTAAGATAATTGCACGAACGATTGCATTAAATAATTGAAATCGTCAAAAATAATTGAACGCGTAGAATGCAGACGTAGACTATATTCTACTTGTATTTTTGACGGCTTCTCTAGTTCAGATTAATTACCTTTGCTAAATCATGAAATATTCTATACTAATTTATTAGGTTATATATAAAATTCGTCAACAGCTTCATGTAGGCAAGGTCCGAGTCCGAGCTTCTACAGTCGGCTCGGGCTCGTTCAGGCTCGGCTCCGTTTAGTGTCACTAAGCATCCACTTTTAGTGTCAAATATTTTCCCCGTCCAAGCCAATTACGAGCCGAGCCTGAACGTGCCCGAGTTCTCGGACTCGGAACATGCCTAGCTTCAGGTGTGTTGTATCAATCTTTAGAAAATTTCCTTCCACAAAAAGTATCATCCATATGATTACTGTTTCTGTGGTCTATGATTCTACTTATCAAGACCAAAAATGTTGTTTAGGTATTGGTATCAGAGATCGAAAAGGGTCAACCAAACGTGACCCGAACCCAATCCGATCCGAACATGAGTTGATCCGACCCGACCCGTTTCGGTCTCTGATCGGTATGGTCCGGACATATTATTATCTATTATAAAATATTGCACACAAGAATAGAATATCGAAAAATAGTGATCAAGTCAGACTAATAAAAAGCTTTCTAGATGAGATTCATTATCGTATCTCAGAGGATAAATTGGCTATTCTGATTTGTTGAAGTCACCTGTTGTGGTGCATCATTTTTCTATCATTGTAGACTAAACAACTACAAACGAATAATTTTATGTGTTTACCAGTCAGAGTGTCAAGAATACGAAAGAAACAACAACAGGTAAAAGACAAAATACTTATTTCTACATCTAAACGCTTATACAGTCTCAAAATGTGTTTCATTTTTTGGATTGAGCCGTTTATTTGTCACGCTCGGAAGCGCTTGCAGAAATGAATATAAAAAAAGATGGACATATTTATCAACCTGGATACAATAAAAATAAACAACACATAGCAGTATCACAACATGATTTANAATCTCCATTGAGTTTTACTAGCTGTAAATAATCTGACTGTAAGGGAATAAGGTTAATAAGAGAACACGAACGACACAAACTCAAAAATATAAAAATACATCAACAAAAAGGGACAAAAAAGGAAGGTATACATAGAGATATCACGGAGGACAAACATACCATAATAGTTAGTACCTGTCTGCAGAGGAAAAGAACAAAATAAAAATAACCAACACTATATATTTTATATTGCCTTCTAGTGTTCATCAATAAAAGACAACCAGTCTAACAGTAAAGACGCATGTCTTTTTTTCGTCTTTTTTACGCGATTTTGTTGAAAGAAGTGACCGATCTTTAATGACTTCTTTTCATTATTTACAAAATTATCACAGAAGAACATATCGTTTAAGAATAGAGACTGGCCTAAGTCAGTCCGATCTACGTTCGAAAGTCTTTTTTGGAGGTAGTTTTTAGCGTAAAAATTGAGATCTTTCTCGTTAGTTGACGAAAAATATCTTGCGCTGAAACCCCTGGACAGCGATGCACGATTCGCAATCCTACGCGAAATTTTCTATACAGTGATTCTTTTTGTGTATCCGGTAACATAGGGAGAAAAGG